GCTGGTAACTCTAAATTGTCCCTAGGTGTGATTTAAGAGTGAATGGATGTTTGTCCCTGGGATGGACTTGTGACCAGTCCAGGGTGTACCTCGCAAAGTGATTGCTGGACATAGGCACTGCCCCCCCCCCCCCCCCCCGACCCAAAATGAAATAAGCGGGTAAAGATAATGGATGGATGGATGTTTTTACATATTTGTTAAAACTGTCACTTTGTCATCACATAGAAGAGTCAGATTCTTGTCATTCACACCACATGTGGTGGAGCAAAATTATGTACACAGGGTCTCAGTTATATCCAACAAACTATAAGAAAAACTGTAAGATCTAAGAAAAACCTAAACTAAAAATACACTAAGCACTAATAGCACATACATAAAACATTGTCGAGCAGCAGCATGAACATGAGCTAGAGTCTGTGTGAGCATATGAGCACACATGAAAACTTCAACATGAAACAGATCAGCAACGTGTTATTTTATTTTTTTCAGTGATTATTTTGGTTAGATTCATGAGGCTGAGATGGTGTAGAGGCAGGGCAGCTGGCTTGGGACCGGAAATTCCAGGTTCGATCCCCAGTCACTGCATACCGCGTGGTGTCTCTGGGCAGCACACCCCATCCCCAAAATGCCCCCCCCCCCCACCCCACCAGGTGCCCTCAATAGCTGCCCACAGCACCACCTGGTGGTGGATGGGTTAAATGCATAGACTAATTTTGCCATTTGTATGGAAACACAGTGATGAGATTGAGTCTAACAGCCTCAGAGTAGAAACTGTTCCTCAGTCTTGTGGTAATAAGGAGCAGCTTTGGATTAATAAGTGGTTATATTGGTAATAAGACAGATAATCTGTGAAAAGATTGAGCTCCAAGACTTGAGGTCCTGGTCTTGACTTGGTTTCACCCTCCCTCGGTCTTGGTCTCTGACCCCAAAAGTCTTGGTCTTGTCTCGGTACACTCTGGTCTTGGTCTTGACTTGGTCTCGGGTTAGGTGATCTTGACTGCAACACTACTTCACATCAATGTGAAGAAGACGGAGAAGATGATCATGGACTTCAGACGGAACAAACACATCAACCCCCCCCTCCCCCCCCACACACACACGCTCATGGATCTGTGGTGGAAGTGGTCTCCAGCTACAAGTATTTGGGTGTACACCTGAATGATAACCGCAGCTGGGGCAACAACACTACCAGCAGCCTGATCAAGAAAGCACATCACTCTACTTCCTCAGGCGGCTGAGACGAGCTGGTCTGGGAAGCTCAGTCCTCACCTTCTTCTACAGGTGTGCAGTGGAGAGCATCCTGTGCTCCAGCATCATGTGGCATGGAGGCTGCACAGCTGCAGAAAGAAAAGCTTTGCAGAGAGTGGTGATTGCTGCACAGAAGATGTTGGAGTCTGTCTCCCCACCATCACAGACATCTACACCTGCAGGAAGAGGGCCACCTGCATCATGAAGGACCCCACTCACCCAGCACATACACTTTTTTTGCCTGTATTAATGGGTAAATGAGGACACAGATTGTAGTGTAAAGCGCTTTGAGTATCTTGAAATAAGATAGAAAGGCGCTATATAAGTACAGTCCATTTACTTTTTGCCCCGCTCCCCTCAGGAAGGAGGTTGAGGAGCATTAAGTGTAGAACCACTAGACTGAGGAACAGCTTCTACCCTGAGGCTGTTAGACTCATGAATCTCTAACCAGAATAATCACTGTGAAAAAAATCACATCATATTGCTGCTGATCTCATGCTGCTGATTTATTTTATGTTGCTGTATTCATTCGTACACATCTGCTCACACAGGCTTATGTGCATGCTGCTGTGCGGCATATTGTTTTTGTAGTGCTTAGTGTATTTTTAGTTAGCATATTTCTTAGTTCATATCTTAGATTTTATTACTGTTTATCTTTCCAATTTATACTTGTGTTAAATGTAACTGTGACCCTGGGACAATTTTGTTCCACCACATGTACCACATGTGGTGCATATGACAAATAAAGAATCTTTGACTTTGATAAAAAACCTGTCTACCAGTAATTTTATCAAGTATTTCAAAAATACACTTTATTTAATATGTGATAGGGAAATTGGGCAGTTTAAAGGAATATAAAGTGGTATACTGTCATCTGTACAAGGTGATCATTTTAGTTAGAAATCCCTCCAAACCTTCTATGAATCTGTTTAAGTGACTGCCAGCTTTGTGATTTGCAGAAGTTTGATCACCTTTTTGGGCCATCCATGGTCCAAGCAAGTGATTAACCCCTTCAAGTGACTGTTTTCAAAGAACAGTTACTCATGTTATGCTCAGGTTCTGAAAAGAGAATAAAATGATCTTTACAAAAATAAGAAAATAAAAAAAAACTATAGTCCCAACAAAGCAAATAAAGCTTTTTGTAAATTTATTTAAATATATGGTTAAAGTTTATGAGGTTTTTAGTGTTTTTAGTGTTAGAACATTTGTCCTGACACCAAAATCTTCATGTTGTTGTTCCATCCATCCATCTATCCATCCATCTATCCATCCGTCCATTCATCTGTCCGTCCATCCGTCCGTCCGTCCGTCTGTCCGTCTGTCCGTCCGTCCATCCATCCATCCATCCATCCATCCATCCATCCATCCATCCATCC